ATATATATATACTATATGAATTATGCTATTATTATATAGTTATATAATCCTAAAATAATTTCCATCAAGTTTTAAACTAAATGCCAATATACATTTCCATGTGGTATCCCCCTTGTACAACCCCTAACCTAACCCTTATCTCTAAATCTCATAACTTTATCATTCCTTTTAATTTTGGCTAGGTTTCCCTTTTCTAAATTTCCCCAATCTTTCTTATTTTTTCCTTCTGGTTTTATTTTTATTTCCCTCTGCCTGTCAGCCATGTTCCCCCCCCCCTTTTCCAGTTCTCTTTTTTGGAGTTGTTGTTGTTTCTTTTTCTTCTTCTTCCTTTTTCTCCTCCTCCTCCTCTTCTTCTTCTTGATCTTGGGTGTCTTATCTTTTATTTGCTGTCTCTGTTCTAAGTCCTTTTATGTCTTCTGACAATGGTCCTTGTTCTTCATATTCATCAAGGCTGTTATTTTCCTCTTTTAATTCGTCCTCTCTGAGCTTCCTTTGTTCTTTTGCGAGCTGTGACACCATTATTTTAGTCAGCATTATCTCCACCAGTCTCACTTTTTCTTTAAACATCTCCCTCACAGATTGGAGATCCAACTTAAATTCTTTTATTTCTTCCATTTCTTTGGTCTATTAAGTTATTTTTATTTTATTAAAGGTCAAGTTTTTCTGTTATAGTCCTTGTCAAAATTCTCAGTTTATCTCACTTTCTTTCTTCTGTTTTCTTGTCACAATCAACCTCCAACAATCCCAAAGTATTGCATTATTTTATATTTTATTGTAATCCCTTCTTTTATAAGCTTCCAGGGATCTTGTTTATACAACCAATAATTTTCCATAGAAACATAAAAGGAAATCTTTAACCTTTAGGTGGTGCTCTCTATCACTTTCTTCTTAGAATTCTTTTATTTTAAATCACTTTTCCGTAGTATTAATATTAAATCGTATCAGTTCCAAGTCCAGCATTTTATCTAATGCCTGATTAATGTCCAATTCTGTATGTTGTTCCAAATTTAGTCTCTAATGCTGTATAATTCTTTTATTTCCGTTTTTTTCTTTACCTTATGTTTTCCTCTTATTTCTCGTTCGCCACTACCACTCTTCCAAACGAGGGCTCCTTTCCACTTTTTCGGGGTTTTCAAAAAGAATGTTCAAAGTCTTTTATCCAGTTACACGCCGCTCACCACTTTCACTCTCCAGCACAAAACTTGTGTCCCGGCAGCTTCCTGTTTTCAGGGCAGACATTAAAGACTGCCGCTTCTTCCTGTCTTCTAGGAGAGTTTATCAAACCAGGGAGGGGAGATGCAGCTCCCCACAACCCAGCTGGTGGTCTCCCCCTCTTCCCCCACCCCTACAAGGTGGGCCAGATGGATCTGGTTCTTTAAGGACCCTTCCAACAGGGTAAGCATGGATCAAAGCCGCGCACAATTGCAGTCTCTGATCCGTCGACAAGAATGCCACCAGAAGTTCCCTCTAACAAGTCTTTTTATTCATATCAGTATTGCACAATTTATAAACTGACACTACTACAGGGAAACCAGTGGCTAATTCTTGACCCTATCATGCTATTATTGCTAGTGGCCTACAGTATTATTTTTAATACTATATGATGTTACTGATGTAATGGTAGTACTATTACATCAATCCATTACTAGCCAGTTTTCCAATTGGAATTTGTTTAAATACATCAGTTAAAGATTAAATATTTTTATGTTCTCAAGCTTCAGATTAATTTCAGATCTGCAGACCAGCTCCCTCATTTTTCCAATAAATACTGTGAAAAAAATTGTTCTTTTTAAGGAGGTCAGATTCATCAGGAAGAAATTGTAACTCACCATTCTGAACATATAAAGCAAAATGAAACAAAAAAATCTGTTTTTACAACGGGAAAGATTGTCCCTGCTGGAACTAGAATTCAATTATTTCCAGTTGTGTGTATTGTTGTGAATTTTGTTTTACCTCTATGTGTTTACATTCACTAAAAATACACCTGTATAGTTTAACTAAATAACCAAGACCTAGCATATTCATAGTGCCAGCTACAAGATCTAGAAGAAAGTTGGGTATCCCTATTATAGTAGTTGAATATCAATGTACCAATGCACTAAACCTCTTAAACAGTATTAATGTATACTCTAGTATAACATTTAATTAAATAGAGTTACAAATGGAATGCTTGTTGACTATGATAAATATCTTCCCTGTAGTAGAACAACTGTTCAGTTCCTCACAGTAAATGAATCTGTGCAGTGTTACCATAACAACATTCGAGGGTGGATAAAAATCAATGATTTTTTTTAAATAAAAAAATGGAATTTTTAAAATTTAAATTGTTTTTTTTTTAATTTTTATCAAATTTATTTTAATAAAATGGTTTTGGAGTAAAAATCTACCTAAAGGTAGTTTTCTATTTAGGATAAATTAATAATTTAATTTATTCAGCATGAAATTATTAGTTATGTAGCATGAGGCTGTATATTCAGCAATATTTACATTTTTGGTAAACTCAATGAATCCAAGCTCTGCAAGCTAAGATTACATTGCATGGATACATTCACACAATTTCACAGTAACCATGAGATAAAACTTAAAGCAAAGTTCAGGAATATTCCTTTATCCTGTTGTTTTGAAAATCTATGTACACTACAAACTGTATGGTTGTTTGAAGAGAATTGCATCTGTACCACCAGGCTCTTAAGTGTGAGGAGGAAAGGCAAGTGGTAAAAATGAAAGTGAAACCTTCTAAGTAGATTATAAATTAAAGAGCGCCTGTCTTTTCAGATCCATCATGGCAGCGCCTGTTAGTGGGCATCCACTCACCTGCTGCCTGCCATATCCCTCACCTTATTGTGTCATTGCCGTATCACTAGCCATCCCATTAAAGTGAATGGGACTATTGGTGAATCAACAGTAGGTCAGAGGAGAAGCCGCTGTGGGACAGAGATGACAGTTGCTGATTTAAATCAAGCCTTTTTACTAGTGATTTAAAACACGATATAAATCACGATTTAAAATCGACTTGATTTAAATGAAATCCACCCTACAACAACCTTTCAAGCATCTCAAGCCATTACATTTGTTTAATGTTAATTCTGCACTGCAAGCAGATTCTATTTGATGTCAAGGCCCATACCATCTTCAGTGCTATGGTTATACCTAGCATTTGATGCCCAATAAAACATTCCACTCAAATATCAGCCTTTTTGGTTTTTTTCAGCGTATGTCAGGAACTGAAATGCATCATGTCAAGTACAGAACACAGGCCACTATGTACCATTTGTTAACTGATCACATGACAAAAGAACATGGAATATAACTGACTTTTTCATCAGAATTCACTATTCATAAATACCACAAGATCCTACATTCCTACAATTATTAATACAGATGTTGCACCACTATGTATTTCTCTTCTTTCAGATAATTTCATTATTTTAAGAAACTTTGAATAAACATTTAGGGTGAATGTACAGCAAGGTTGTATTTTAAAAAGGTACCTTTGCTTAAAGAAACTTTTACATTGGATAATCAAGCTTAATAGGATTAAAATCCTAAAATTTGAAATATTTACATCATGAATTACTTTATTCATCTATAACATAATTCAAGAAAACATTCTAAAGTTTCAGCATAAGAACACTGATAGAATATTAGACATAAGCAATATAAACAAGCACCCCTACAGCAAAATGCACATTGCAGACACAGGGTAGAATAAATATATATTTCAATTGGAATTAGCTCGTGGTTGTGTAGTACTAATTTTCAACTCTGCACATTGGCTACACCCACTATTACCCTTTAATATATCCTCACAAAACAAATGTATACTTCATAAAAATATTCACACTATGAAGAGTCCATATTGAATTTTGCCAGAATACTGAAGAAGCATTTCTCCTCTTAGATTTGCATTTGAAGGTTAATCCATTCTAATTTTCTGGTTGGTCATTCTATAAATGATGCTGTCATAACCTGGATCCATATTCCACAGATTGTAGGAGATAACAATCACAGCTATCACTAATCCAAGCATGATCCACAAAATTATATTGAAGATAACAGCATAGTTAAAGTTGTATGCATATCCTAGGTTATATGGATTTTCTGGCTTGCTCTATAACAAGAACAAAGAAATGAGTAAGTATATACAATAAACCATAAAGAAACACAAGGACTAGTCTAGAAGATTAATTGTAAAACAATGTGCAATTTATTCAGTATAAGTTTGTTCCTAGTAAGTTATTAAGTATCAGTTGGAAGAATCTTCATCTTAATCCAAATTAGGAATCTACTAAATAATCCCTGACCAGTCTAGCACCTATATGAAAATTTTCAAGGAGGAAATTTACAACTGCTTAGGTAGATTGTTCCACTAGTTAGTAGCTTTTACCCTTACGGAATTCATTCTAATGTTCAGCCTTAATTTCTTTCAAAATCAACCTTTTGGTCGTTGTCCTGCCACTTTAACAGAGAACAGTCTGCACAGTAAAATCTCCATATAATCTTACCTTTTGAAAGTATAATACATCCAGTTCCTCATCTGGGCTAATTTCCAGACCCCCCCCCCCAATATCCCCTTAACCCTTCTCCAATTTTTTCAGGCCCTTTTAAAAACAAGCTGCCCCTCATTAGACAAAGAACGATGTCCGGTCTAAACAGCACAGTTATTTCCTTCTGTGATCTGGATGCAATGTTTCTATAAATGCAGCCCAAGACTGTATTGGTCTTCTAAGCAATTGCAGCATATTGCTTACTCACACTCAACTGGTAGACCACCAGGATTCCTACAGCTTTCTCACATGCACTGCTAAGTAATGAAGTTCCAATGCATCTGATTTTTTTCCTACTCAGATTCAGCTTTATACAGTATTTACCACTGCCGAACACCAATCTGTCGGATTTAGCCCAGTGTTCAGGCCTATTGAAGTATTTTCAACATAAAAAACCAAACAACCTTTACAAGCCAGTGAAATTCATGGAATTAAGGGCATGTTTCACCTAATGAAAAATTTCAACAAAAAGTTTGGAAAATAACAGATATGTTTCTATATTTTATAGGTTCATCAGTAATCTGTGATTTTAGATTATTTTTAAATTTGCTTTAAACTTCACAGAAGTAATTTGGAAATCTAGTGACAAAGAATTTCAGTAAATCAAGTGTTTTCCTAATTTCTGAGGTTCAAAGAAAAATGCTATAATTATTGTCAAATAATTAAGTTACAAAAATAAAAATGATAGACAAATTGAATTCAACTTTTGCATTATATTACTCTGAGACTCAAAGTGGCTATACTCAAGTGCATTTACAACTATGTTTTTTATTCCAAGACTTATGGCTAAAAAATAAAGAATAAAGCCCAGGGTAAACAGGTTATCATTAATACTCTGCATTTTTCTGTTTAGTTACTCCACTGAAATGCATGAAAATTTCAAATAAAGATTTATTATCCAACTACCAAAAAATTTGCAAAAGTTTGTATTACCTCTGTGGATTGTAGAATAGATCTGGATTTTCTCACAAAGGGAGTATCAAAACTCTTCACAGTGACCACTTCTACAACTGCATTCCCACTGTAGATGTTGTACATCTCATCTGCAAACTGAAAAAGCCCAAAATTCAGAATTTGCCAGTTGAAATTAGATATAAATGAGAAAAGGCACACAACTCAAATATTACAATTGAATAGAGTTGGAAGGGACCTTGGAGGTCTTCTAGTCCAACCTCCTGCTCAAACAGGAAACCCTATACCAGGACTGTCCAAGTGGTGACCTGCGGGCCGGATACGTTACACGCAGGCCATGCCCAACCCAGTTCTGTAAAGGCAAAAAATATTGGATACATCACAATCCAGCCTGTGATACGATCGAGTTTGACATCCATGCCCTATACCATTTTAGACAAATGGCTATCCAATCTCTTCTTTAAAAGCTGTAGTGATAGAGCACCTACAACTTCACTGATTGATTGTTCTGTCAGGAGATTTCTCTTTAATTCTAGGTGGGTTCTCCCCTCCACAAATGAACAGGACAAAATGGTGGCAACAGTAGAGCCACCACCACTACCCAGGTTCAGGACAAACTGCTGCCTTACCAAAGTCTGCACATTGCTGCAGAAACTTTCTGTAGCATTGAGAAGCTTCTGTAGCCCTATGCAGACCTCTCTAAAGCAGCAGGATGAAGAATTTCTCTAGTGGCCTACATTTTGTCCTGCCCACAAATGGGCAGGACAAAATGATTATATTTGGATTCCTGCCACACAACCCAGGGACAAATGGCCTGCTCTCCTTCCACAACATGAACTCCAGATAGCTTCCGAATCTAAGTGTGGGACATGATGGGTATGTGGAGAGTAGGCAATGCTGCAGGGTTCCAGAAAGGTGGGATGGGGGAAGGACACTGCAGCAACCTTTTGGTATATCAAAAGGGAAAACAACTGCATGTCTGCTGCAATAACTTTGAAATAGGGTCAGATGTAGCTTTGGGGGGGGGGTCTGTCATAATTTCAAATGTTTATGTGGCCTGTTGTACCTGTACTTATGACTGAAGAATGAATTAATGCTATATCTTTATTTGGCCAACAACTATAAGCTGAAGAAAACTTTATTTAAAAAAAAAAGAAACCAAACAGGTATCAGCAATAAAGCATTGCATAATCTATTCATACCTGTTTCTATATTCTAAATTAAGAAAAAGTTACATTATTTACCAGCATTTTTGCTCTACTAACCTTTTGCAGAGAGTCTGCAAGAATCTGAGTAGCATCCTTGAACTGCTGTGAATCTTCCCCATACCTTTTACCTATTTCTTCCAACCCAGAAAGTTCTAGAGAATATAGATCTGGTGAATGATCTTTGGCCAGATGTTTGTGTCTAGAAAGCTTGGGAAGTGATAGATAAAAATAATTACCAGGATATCAAAGTAAAAAGTAGGCATTTCAATTTTAGAAAGCAATATTTTAACTATTTTAAGTAATTGTTTTCTAGAACCTGTATCCTAAAGATGCATATACATGGGGGTGGAAGTTAACGTTAATGGTTGATTTTAATGACAGGTGCACTGGTGCAACATAAGACATGATTCTTTTTGGACAGCCCCCAGAGAAAAGACAGAGACCTCTTAGCTAGTGGAAGCAGCGTGCCACATTCTCTGTTGGCTTCCCCACTGACTGTCTGGGAAAGATAGCAAAGATAAATGCAAATGGAATCACATGTTCACAGGGTGCTTGGCAACCAATCATAAGCACAAAACAGGTTGCTAAACCTGTTGGTCACAATACCGTGGTGGGGGAAGGTAGATTTGACATTTTGCATGTGATCATAAATGCTCTACAGGACACCCTTTCTCAAGTGGTCATTAATTCAGACCATTAGGGATGGTCATAAGTCAAAGATACCTTTATATACAAAAAGTGCAGAGCTAGAATCATGGCAGCATGACATTCCATTTTAGTGAAAGTGCTGGAACATATTGATACATTTTTTATCCCATATTCTGCTTCTCCAGGAATTTATCAAGAAGTCCAGTTTAGCGATTCTTCTGGCTGACGTCGTGGCAAGATTGGACGTGAGGAGCGGGGTCTCTGTGCTCCCACGCCGAGTTGGAGGGCTCCGAAAGGAGCTAAAGTCACCCTGTGGGGGTGGTGAAGCAAAAAGGGGTGTCTGTAGGTCATGGAGAGCTGCAACTCTTCCGCTCAACTCAGGGCTTCTTCCCTCTCATCCATGATGAGAAGAGGGAGCCATCATGGCTGCCATGAACCTGGGACAGCTGAGGCAACAAAGAAAGTGCAGGAGTGGTGTAGATGGATAGTGACTGGAGCTGGGTGGGAAGATTCCTTTTTTATTTAGACCCTAACTTAAAAAAGGGGGGGGTGGAGAAAATCCAGAAAAAGAGACTCTTAGAACTGTTTGCTAAAGCAGCAAGCAATTATACAGAGAAAAATTCTAGACCCCAAAGAAAGAAACTAAGGGGAGAAAAGCTAAAGACTTTTTAAAACACAGAAAATTGGACTTTCAAACTGGGTAGGCGTTGTTTTGGAAAGGCATTTTAAACACTGGAACTATCTACTTGAATTATTTACTTTGCTTCTATAAATTGAATTAAAATTGGATTAAATAACTTGTTACATTTGAAACAATGCTGAAACCTAAGTTGAGGGCCCCACCTACTGATGAATGGAGGAGCACGGAGAGTTACGGGTGAGCACCGGAGGGTCAGAAGACACACTCAGACATCTCTCGGGGAGTCCTCTTGTGTGGAGGCTGAAGGAGGGGGGTACTTTACCCAGAAAAACTTGAGCTCTTGCCTGCACAAACAGCGATGAGGCAAACTATGGGGCTTCTAAAGCACTCAGCTCAACCCAATCCAGAGTTCCCATCGGTCCCGTAACAAGCCAGCAGCGAAGGTCAGATTGCCCAGACCAAAAGAACGCTGAGGAAGACAGGATCCTAATAACCAGCCTGTTTGTGTGGGAGAGAGCTTGAGCTTTTCTGGGCTCGACACCCTTCCCTACAGCCTCCACACAAGAGGATTCCCCAAGAGACGTCAGAGTGTGACTTCTGACCCTCCAGCACTTGCCTGCAACTCTCTGTGCTCTTCCAGGCCCAGCTTGCTAAGTAGGGGGAGCAGCCCTGACGTCTCTGCTGTCCCCCCCATGGCCCTAGCCATCGCTCCCCAGAAAAGGCACAGGAAAAGAAAGCGAGCAGGAACATTAGCTCTCGCTGGGGCGAAAGAGCGGAGATTGGGGAAGGCACAGGCAACAGAAAGCGACACTTTTCAAAGGCGTCAGCTTGCGTCTTCTGTTGCCTGTGCCTTCCTCGATCTCAGCTCTTTCACCTCAGCGAGAACTATGTTTCTGCTCACTTTTCCTGTGCCTTCCCCAGGCAGCGATGGCTGGGGCCATGTGGGGGTGGGGGGCAGCAAAGCACCGAGAGGGATGAAAAAACTGACACTGACGCCGATGCCCCATTCCGGACCTACAGCCCGCGGCCATTGAGGAAAAGTCCAGGCCAAGAGAGACGAGCTGGAAGGTGCGGGAGTGCCACACAAATGCAAGTAGCATGGTGCTCCTGCACCTTCCAGCCATCTCCATTGCCGCTTCAACCCGCCTGTGCCACCAATCCCCTCTTGCTGCAACAGCACCTGGCTGGGGAGGGCTGCACTGCTTTTTGCATATTGTTCCACCCGCAAATTTGCACATTACAGGTGCCACCCCCTATGGGGGAGATTTCCAACCCCAACACAGGCTGGTCTCATATTCCAGAACTGCAGTAGTCACAAGACTGGCCCTTTGGTCATCCCAGAGCAACTCATCCATGGCAGGCCGGTGTCCAGGCGAGTCCTGTAACTAATGCAGCTCTGGAATATGGGACTGACTTTCCCACCAAAGTCAGCAAGCCATTGTCAGTCAAAATTAGTAATAATGGTCTGCGGGATTTGAAATTATGAGTTTGGTGGTCCCTGAGGTCCAAAAGGTTGGTGATCCCTGCTCTAGAGGCCTGGCAGCATAGGAGGATAGAGATGGGAGAAATGTTTAGACTGAACAGTGAAGACACAGATGTAGATAGGATCCAAGAGAGGAGTATGGGAGGAAGCTAAAAAATGAATAAGAATTGAAGTATTAAAATGGATAGAAATTTTTAATTTTTTTTCTAATATATGAGCCTTGGTGACGCAGTGGTTAGAGTGCAGTACTGCAGGCTACTTCTGCTGTCTACAATTTGGCAGTTCAAATCTTACCAGGCTCAAGGTTGACTCAGTCTCTCATCCTTCGGAGGTGGGTAAAATGAGGACCCAAAATTATTGGGGGCAATATGGTAACTATGTAAACCACTTAGAGAGGGCTGTAAAGCAGTATATAAGTCTAAGTGCTATTTATTTATTTATTTAATTTTATTTATATTGCTGCCTATTTGCCCATGGAGACTCGAGGCAGCTTACAGAATATAAAACCATATTTAAACAATAAAAACCAACAAAAAGAATCAAATAAATTAATAAAGTACAATATAACACAATCACCCCCCCAACTCCCACTCCCTACCCTGATGACAGCAGATCACATGAGCCATTTAATGGGCTTCATCCCGCTCTCAGTTCCCCAGGCTCGCTGGCAGAACCAGGTCTTTAGCACCTTCTGGAAGAGTATTAAAGTGAAGGCCATTCTAATCTCTGGGGGAATAATGTTTTCCCTGCTATTGCTATAAGGATGGCTTGATTAAAAACTAGAATAGAGGCAGAAATAAGAATACACATTCTTATATCAAGTAATAGCTAGATGGAAAAAATAGAGATTGAAAGATGGTATTATTAAGTATGTTTAAACAATATGGTGATTGGAATGAGAATGGCACATTGAAAAATTGAATAATTAAATAATGAAGCATTACATCTTAATATAAACATGTGTATTAACACTAGGATTAGTCATGGTGGCCTGACTAGAAACCAGAATAGAGGTAGAAATAAGAAATAAGGGGAATATTAGCACACATATTCTTACATAATAGAATAAAAGTAATAGAGGGAAAGATTAGAGGTTGAAAGATGGCGTTACTATGTAAGCTCAAATATCATTGTGATTGGCATTAAAATGGAACATTGAAATAATGAATAACTACAAGGGTGGGATTCTACTGGTTCAGACCAGTTTGAGCATTTTGCCCCACCCACCTGCCCCCTGCTGTTTCCTGTACTTTATTTCCTGTTTTTTTTTTAGCACAGTTGATTCGTGTGGCTGAGTGGTTTGCCACACATCAGCTGTTTTACTAACAGGGGACGCAGCAGAGGGTAATTGAGTTGAAAATTGGGTTTTTTAAATATAGAGCACCAGTGCAAAGCATGCTGTCACCGAACAGATTGTTACACTGGTTAAATTGCACCACTGAATAACTACTTTAAAACAAACATGTATATTAATACTAGGATTACATAAGTTTGATTAATGTAACAAATACTATTAATATTTTTATTGCCCCTTGTCCCAAAATGAATGATACCCAGATGTTACACTGTTCATGTATTGATGTTGATGCCACACCACACGCAAAAAGGAGGAAAAAGTAGTTCAGTTTAGCCAGTAAATGGGCGTTGGTAAATTTACCTGAGAACGGCCTTTCTATCTATGCTTTTAGAGAGCCCAGGATGGGTTAGACTCCTCCTGATGACATCATCAAGCTGAGTCTGTCTTGTATAAAAGGAGCAGCCTGTGGGAGTGTCCCCAGCTTTGGAGAAGGTACTTGACAGACTTGAGTGTCTCTGAAAGCCAAACAGAATCTTGAACAATAACATATCTTACCATAGTCCGGACGAAACAAGGGAGGGGCTGGGCTCTCTAGCAGCATAGATAGAAAGGGCATTCTCAGGTAAATTTACCAACGCCCATTCTCCTCCAAGCTGCTGTGAAAGCCCAGGATGGGACATACCAAAGCCTGCATGTCCTTGGGAGGGTCTTTGTCCGATTAATCACTCTGAAATTGGAACCACTCGCTGAAGTACCTGTCTGCCGAAGGCCGCACTCTTTGAGGCATAGGAGACCAGACGGTAGTGTCTGGATGCCCACATAGCCGCTCTGCAAATCTCTTCTAGGGGTGCCTGGGTGGCCCAGGCAGCCGAAGTGGCAGCACTTCTAGTAGAGTGTGCTGTTAGGCCCTGGGGCACCATGAGGGCTCTGGCTTTGTAGGCCTGTGCGAGGGTGTGCCACTTGTGCTCTAGGTCGTGGTGCGGAATGGGACAGAAATCAGGTAACACTATGTCCTGGGATCTATGGAACATGGTATTAATCTCAGGTACAAAGGTAGGGTCTAGGCGGAGAACAACTCTATTGTTGTGAAAGGTGCAGAGGTCCTGCCTTATTCAGAGAGCAGCCAACTCTGACACCCTTCTAGCTGATGAAGAAAATGAAGAAAACCACCTTCAGGGTTAAGAATTGAAGGGAAACCTTTCTGAGGGGTTCGAACGGAGGTTCTGTTAGAGCCTGGAGTACCTTGAGAAGGTCCCAGGATGGAAACCTGTGTACCACAGGAGGGCAGAGGTTGGAAGCCCCTTTTAGAAATCTCTGTACTGAAGGGTGGTGAGACAAGGAAGGAAATGTGTCCCAGGAGAGGACTGAGGAAAGAGCCGCTACCTGATGGCGTAAGGTGTTAGGTGCGAGACCCTTCTCTAGGCCGTCTTGAAGGAAATGGAGGACATCTGCTACCTCAGCTAATGTTGGAGTGAGACCCTCTTTTTGACACCAATGACAAAAAAACTTCTAGGTGGCATCGTAGATGTGCACTGTAGATGGTTTACGAGACACCTGGATAGTAAGGATGACCCTTTCTGGGAGATTAGCCTCTTAACAGTTGCTGCTCAATCACCACACGGTCAGTTTGAACCATGGGGGATCCGGGTGCAGGGCTCCCTGATGAAGGGAAATCTTGTGGTCTGGGATCCTCCAGGGAGTGGCTATTAACAGGTTCCCCAGGTCTGCAAACCAGGGTCTCCTGGGCCAATGGGGCCCAGGAGAATCAGTTCTGCCCATTCCTCCAACATCTTCCAAATGTTCGCCAGAATGATGGGAAGAGGGGGAAAGGCATAGAGGAGACCAGTGGGCCATCTGCTCCAAAGTACATTGGTCCCCTCCGCTCCCTGACAAGAAAACCTGATGAAGAACCTGTTTACTTGAGCATTTGGGGGAGAGGCGAAGAGGTCTACCTTCAGGGTCCCAAACCTGAGGGAGATCCCTGAATAAGGACTGGGGAAGAGACCATTCTGCATGGTCGACTAGGCTCCTGCTCAGCCACTCAGCTTGGGAGTTGTCGATTTCTGAGATGTGGTCTGCTGTGATAGACATCAGGTGTCTCTGCCCACTACCCCAACTGTTCGGCTTCCTTCATAAGGGCCCTGGATCTTGTTCCCCCTTGCCTGTTGACGTGCGCCTTTGTGACCATAATGTCCGTCAACACTAGCACATGGTATCCAGCTACCTTGTCCCTGAAATGTTTCAGTGCTAGATATATGGCTCTGAGCTCAAGCCAGTCTATAGGGCCGGTCCTGTCCATCCAGGACCAAATCTCTTGAGCTATGTGCCCTTCCATGTGGGCCCCCCAACCCACGAGACTTGCATCGGTGGTGATGAGCAGTCTGTCCGGTTCTTTGAACAGGAGTCTCTTCCAAAGGGCCGGGGAGAGCCACCACTTGAAGGAGCGACAGGTCTGCGGAGCAACGGGTCTGTGGACCCTGGCAGATGTGTGGCTGGTTCCTGCTCATTGAAAGAGGAGCAGGAACCATTGTAGAGCTCAGGAGTGTAGCTGTGCCCACAGAATGATGCCGATGCATGAGATCACTTTCCCTAATAGTTTGGACAACAGCGACAGGGAGATAGTGTGTTGATGCTGAACCTGTCGAATGATCTCGGTACGGTTCTTCCCTCAATCTGGAGACAGAAAAATTTGGCACAGAGTTGTTTCGATGACAGCTCCCAGGTGGAGCAATCTGGTTGTGGGGAAGAGATGGCTCTTCCTGGAGTTGATGGAAAAGTCATGGTACTGAAGACAATAGAGTGTGATTTGTAGATCTCGATGGGCGGATAGGGTGGAGGACGACAGTATCAAAATGTCATCCAAGTAACATTGAATCCTTACTGGAACAGACAGGAGCAAAGCCATCAATGCCGCCAGTATCTTTGTGAAGACTCTTGGAGCCGATGAGAGCTCAAAGGGAAGGGCTCGATACTGGTAGTGAGAATTCTGGTATCAGAAATGGAGAAACTGGCAATGATGAGGCCAGATAGGAATGTGGAGGTAAGCCTTTGTGAGATCAATGGAAGAGAGAAGATTGCCCTCACGAACGGTCTCTAGAATAGAATGCAGAGTCTGTGCCCGAGGAGAAGGAAGCCACGACTGGGGCATCTACCAAGGGAACTGAAAGAGCAGTAGCTAGGGAAGGGCCCACGTTGTAAAACTGCCTATCATGGGACGATGGGCAGGGGCCTGCAGTTGGGGAGGCAAATTGCTCCTTGACTAAGTCCAGAAAAATGATGGGGGATGGAAGGACCTCCGAGTGAACAACGGGTTTGGAGAAGAGGGAATCCCCATGCCCCAATTGCACCACTTGAGGTTTGAGGGCAGCTTCCTCCGAGGACAACTGGGCTGTGACCAGTGCCTTGTGGAGGAGGGGTTTAAATAAGGCAGGTTTGAATACTGCGGCTGAGGGAGATTGATTGGGTCTCAGATCCTCTCCTTCCTCTGAGAGGTTGGGGTTCCAGATTTCTCCGTCTTCCTCTTCAGATGCAGGGGAGGGGCTATGCTCAGATGGTTCTGCATAGTCTCTCTGTTCGAAATAATCCCATTCTGCGTGGGTAGGAGGGGCCCTGTGCTCCACAAGGTGAGGTAGTCCCCTTTTGGGGATCTGGGCCTGAGAGTAGGCCGGAAAAGTGGGCTGGGATCTGTCTGAAGGCCTAAAGATGTGCTGAAGTCCTTCTGCAAGGCCCTGTCTGAAGGCTATGGAGACTACATCGTGGATGTCAGAGGGTCTGCCACTCGATGGAGGATCTGGGGACTGCCACTATTGGGGTAAAAGTAGCCTCTGCTCTAGGTCGAGAGCTACTTTGGGCTATAGATGGCAGAGAAGAAGAGAGGTCCCAAGGAGCCTGTATGAAGTTGGGGCCCGATCTGCTCAAGTCTTGAGGCCGAATTGGTCCTCAAGCCTCTCTGGGGACCAGGACTGGAGGTGGCTAAGAGGGGCTGGAGTTTCCCCCACCCCCCTGGAAGTACCTGCCTGAACCACCAGAGGATTGGCTGGCTGGGAAGCTTGCTGCAGTTGTCCCCTCATTTGCTCAATAGTCTTATTGAACGGCCTCTCCAAGGCCGCATGTCTTCATTTCTCTGCTTTTAGTTTGGCCTGGGATGTTTTCTTGGGGCCCAAGTCTTTGCCTCTGATCTTGGCCGCTACCTCCCTTTGAACAGATTGAGAGAATTGTCTCCTTTTTCTTTTGGCAGTCTGGAGGCCTTGGGTGTCCAGGCCCGAAAGCTCTGCGTGGATCTTGTCTTGATCCATAGTTTGCATAAGGAAACACAAGAGGTGCTGGAAGCAATCCTTGCTATGTGTTGCCTATGCAGTAACCTAAATTAGGGCCCTTTTTGGGGACAGGAGCAGGCCGTTGGTAGATGAATCCACCTAAAATGGCCGCTCACCATGTGCGTTGGAAGAGGTAGCTTTCAAAATGGCCTCTCGCATGAATTGCAGGCTACAATGGCTGTTAGTCGCTCCCTAGGTTGAAAACAGCCCCGAGCAGCGAAATCAGCTAGAAAGGGAAAACCACAGCTTTTTCAATCAGCTGTGAGGCACGGTTATCGCCAATACGATCTTTACAATTGCGGCAGCCGAAATCACAGAGAGCTGTAGGGGAGGGCCAAGGGCTTTTCCCTTACTTATAGTCTCCCTTGGATTGAAAACGTTGAATCCTTGGCGTTGCAGGAGAGCTGTTGAAGGCCTAGCTGCACCGGGTCCCTGGGAGCTGTGCCAATGATTTAAGATCGCTGTTTGACTTTTGCTGCTGACTAAAACTGCTTTCAAAGACACCAGCTCAATTGTCATCGAAAGAAGCTGAGTCAAAGCTGGGGACACACCCACAGGCTGCTCCTTTTAATACAAGACAGACTCAACTTGATGATGTCATCAGGAGTCGTCTAACCCATCCTGGGCTCTCACAGCAGCATGGAGGAGAACTACACATTCTCTGTTCTTTCTAATTTAAAATGTTTTAAACCAGCTGAAGAATTACACAGTCAGAAAATACCCAGTCAACCACATAGTAGAATTTTGTTTGCAGAATTTGCTTACCAAGCTTGTGATGTCATGCAAAACTTGCAGTTCTGACAGGTAGAGGAGATCAACCTATGAAATAAACATGTAGACATAAAAACAAGCACACATACAAAAAGATGAATTGAAAAATCATTTCAATTTATAATAAAAATATTCAGAATCAATTCTGATATTAATTTAGCATGCATAGCATATGCAGGACTTAACCATACATTATCTTAACAAATGAATCACTTAATTAAAATTGAAATAAAGTAATAAATACTCCATGCCCTGAAACAGATCTTATCTAGAATATAGATTTGACAAAATGGGACTCTATAACATACATGACATCAATTTAAAATAGTTGCCAAAAAAGACAATTTGAATGAGTTTTACCTTACCTCATTGTTTCTGCTTAAGGAGTTGAGGGGAAGGAAAGCAAGAATGGAGTTATCCTGGAAAAGTCTATTCCGAAGCTGCCGTAGTGTGACAGAAAGATCTTCGAATACAGAATTTGCTTTTCCCACCATATAAACTCTCTGAAAGAACCATCATTATGCGTTATAATCTTGCACTGTGATAAGAGTCTTCAAGTAACTCTTTCCTAATATTGAAAATTCAAAGAAAAATCTCTACTGAAAAGCATTTAAAGGTCATAATTTAATTTTTGATGCTTTTTAAAAAAAACTTACTTCTTCACTAGGAGCTAATTGAACAACTACTGGCGTTTCCTCAGAAAATAAAGTATGTATTGAATTTGCAACCCCATCCAGGCTGAAGGGAACTGCCTAAAATAAAAGAAATGATAGTAAATTGAAATCTGTAGAAAACAGGAAAATAACTTTCAGCATATACACTGCTCAAAAAAATAAAGGGAACACTTAAACAACACAATGTAACTCCAAGTCAATCACACTTCTGTGAAATCAAACTGTCCACTAGGTAGCAACACTGATTGACAATCAATTTCACATGCTGTTGTGCAAATGGAATAGACAACAGGTGGATAGCATAGGCAGTTAGCAAGACATCCCCAATGTGTGGTTCTGCAAGTGGTGACCAGAGACCACTTCTCAGTTCCTATGCTTTCTGGCTGATGGTTTGGTCACTTTTGAATGCTGGTGGTGCTTTCACTCTAATGGTAGCATGAGACGGAGTCTACAACCCACACAAGTGGCTCAGGTAGTGCAGCTCATCCAGGATGGCACATCAATGAGAGCTTTGGCAAGAAGTTTTGCTGTGTCTGTCAACGTAGTGTCCAGAGCATGGAGGCGCTACCAGGAGACAGGTCAGTACATCAGGAGATGTGGAGGCCATAGGAGGGCAACAACCCAGCATCAGGACTGCTACCTCCGCCCTTGTGCAAGGAGGGACAGGAGGAGCAGTGCCAGAGCCCTGCAAAATGACCTCCAGCAGGCCACAAATGTGCATGTGGCTGTTCAAACGGTCAGAAACAGACTCCATGAGGGTGGTATAAGGGCCCGACGTCCATAGGTGGGGGTTGTGCTTACAGCCCAACATCATGCAGGACGTTTGGCATTTGCCAGAGAACACCAAGATTGGCACATTTGCCACTGGCGCCCTGTGCTCTTCAGATGAAAGCAGGTTCACACTGAGCACATTTGACAGGCGTGACAGGGTCTGGAGACCTGCAACATCCTCCAGCATGACCAGTTTGGCAGTGGGTCAGTAATGGTGTGGGGTGGCATTTCTTTAGGGGGCTGCACAGCCTTCCATGTGCTTGCCAGAGGTAACCTGACTGCCATTAGGTACCGAGATGAGATCCTCAGACCCCTTGTGAGACCATATGCTGGTGTGGTTGGCCCTGGGTTCCTCCTAATGCATGACAATGCTAGACCTCATGTGGCTGGAGTGTGTCAGTTCCTGCAAGACGAAGGCCTGGCTCTTTTGCTTGACAGGCGGGCACGCACCAAGGCTCACTTTCCCGGCTCTGCCCAGCCCACACGGCTCTGGCGTGGCCCTGGCAGGATGAGCCGAGGGCCCGGCGGGGAGATGCTTGCTGCTTTGGCGAGAGCTCTGCTGCTGGGCCTGTCAGCTGCGCTGGGCGCCCCAGGTGAAGCTCTTCGTGCTCTGCCCGGCGCCAGGCAGGGATGGTGGCTAGGCACTTCTCCCGGGGTGGGCCGATCCTGCGCTGCGGCCCCGGGAGATTCACCTCCCCACATGGGGTTGGGCTGCCCTCTTGGGCAGGGGAGACTTTGTCGTACCAGTAGTAGGGCGTCGTTTTTAAAAGAATTGGCTTTGCCTTTGAAGGTGAAGGGAAGGCAGTGACAGGAGCGCCTGAAGCCAAGTGTCTCTGCCAGGCTCCAGTTGTAGGGAGGAGCCCTGGCTGGCTGCACGTGGCTGCACCAAATGCCGTGGTGTTGCTCTAAACAGCGTGGCAGCATGGGGAGAAGGGAAAGCAATGGTGGTGGAAGGTCTCCCGATACGAAGTGCCCCACCAATGCTGAGGTCAACATCCATCTGTCGCCACCTGCCCACCCGAGGATGCAAGGGGGGAATTAAGTGACCCCCCAAAAGATGGCCTTGCCGTTTTTTCGGGGGTCAAAAAAAAATAAGGCCCAGTCTTATTTTGTGAGAAACACGGTAGTTTCCTCATTGACTCTGCTTGTCACAAAAGGGGATCATATGACTCCAGGACACTGTGATCATCTTAAATGTGAGTCAACTGTCAAGCATCTGAATGTAAACCCCGTGACCATGGGAATACTGCAATGATGTGAAAAAGTGTGAAAAATGGTCCTGACTCCTAAGTCACTTTTTCAGTGCCTTGTATCTTTGAATAGTCATTAAATGAACTGTTCTAAGTCAAGGACTACCTGTAGTGTCCCAAGGAAAACAAAAAATGACATGAAATATATTTATGAAGACTTTTAATTGCATGTTACTAGCTTTCCCCAAAATAAGCATGTAGTTCTAAAAAGTAATGGGTTACTAGAATGCATAAACTTGTAATTATCTGAAGTAAGGAGAGTAAACATTAGTTATATTTTCATTAGGGCTATCTTAGGATCTTTTAAGATTAGCCAAACATTTCTTTCATGGGAAATAATGAAGATTTCAGAATCTTCAAGCAATTTATTTTGAAGAAACTGAAGAACACGTAACAATGAGAAATAATGCATATTCAAATAAGGTAATCCAAATTAAGGTGTATAGCATTAGCATTTATATTAAAATGGATACAAATTATAGAAAAATCATGCCCAAATTATATAAGCCACTGTTTTTATGAAGCTTTACTTTCTAACTGTATATAGATCTTTCCATATGAGGTAATTATTAGATAATCTAAAAATACCTGTTTTAAAGGAAGAAAGTGAAACTATACTCAAATAAAAATGTATTATTTAAATTGGCCTTAGCTTGTATATATCTCCTGTCTGATGTTTTTTCTTTCATTTATTGCAGTGTTAATCAGTAGAGAACTTTCCAAATGTTCTGAACTACAGTTTTTATCCTTCCCTCCCACTAAGTAAGTTTGCTGGGGTTCCTGGAAACTGCAAAACATCTGGAGGGCCCTAGGTTGTCTCACCTCAATTTATTATATTTCCATGTGCCAGGTTGATTTTTTACTTCAGTATATAAATGGCATACATTTCCTATATTCCTCCCAGTACATGAATAGTTTATTCATGGGGGGAGAAAAAGCAAAAATATGTTAATCATTAAGAAAAAAATTACTTTCCACTACAGCTGATGATATAAAGAGAAAGGAAAAGGTTCTGTATTTTCTCCAGCACAGATGGAAACATCTGTATCATTTTCATACAGAGATTCTAGAAAGAACTGCTGTATAAATTTACTGAAATACAAATATTCTAAATGTTCCAAGAAAAAAAATGTCAGTATCTTCTATATGACTACCAAAATTTACATTCTGTATCTGTACACCGACTCATAACAAAAGCATGCAGACTCAAAGCCATACTTTCCCATTCTCCGTATATAGAAGTTTCGCTACTAATACACTGGAATCTATAATGTACTTACATTTTCAATCGGGTAAGATATTCCATTCTTAGGCATTGTTAGCTTGTCTATCCCCATTATAGTAACAAGAACAGTAGCTCGCGGACGCCGAAAGAGATCACCTACTGCTAACCCAGGCCAAGAGAGATCCTGTAACAATGCAATTTTTCTTTTATAAAACATTTTATTTTATGTGACTTTATGTATAACTTAATATGTGGCATTAGAAACTGTATCAATGAATTCATTATACTATTTAAATGAAAAGAACAAATGCAATACTAATAATTCACTATTTTGGTAAACATGTTGGACATAATTATAAATAAATCTATACCCCGATTTTGAATTCCTCTAGATAGTGCCGGAACACAGACCTGCAACAGTTTTAAAAAATGTAAGGAATACTGTGGCTGAAGAGATATACAGTAACGAGTCACATACTTCCTCAATAGAGAAGCCCATGGATAAGGCTGCCACATCTGGGATCCGTTCTCCAGGAATTGGCCAATTTCCTTCTTGAAATATAACAGATTCAGGAGTTCTTAATACACTGAATTCATTGGCAGAAACAACTGAAATAAGAATGCAATATGATAAAATCATTTCCACAAACATATAAGGCAGAACAGGTAGTCCTCAACTTACAGCCATTTATTTAGTGACCATCTGAAATTGTAACAGCACTGAAAAAAGTGATTTAAGACTGGTCATGGTCATGTGATCAAAATTCGGATTCTTGGCAACTGGTTCATATTTATTATGTTGCAGTGTCCTGAGGTCATCTGATCAGCTTTTGCAAACTTCTGACAAACAAAATCAATGGGGAAGCCAGATAACTTTAGAACTGTGTTACTAACTTAACTACAGTGATTTATTTAATAACTGTGGCAATAAAAGTCGTAAAATGAAGCAAAACTCACTTGTCTTGTTTAGTAACAGAAATTTTGGGCTCAATTGTGGTCATAAATTAAGGATTAATTCAACTCAGTTCATTCAACTCAGGCTATGGGGGTTGATAGCACTTGAATACAGTGCCAGTAAAAGAATACTACCTATAGGAAATTTTTTATTTATTTTATATCTGCGTACATTTAAACTATTTGAGAGAACAATGACAATTGCTATTCCCACCCAGATTCCAAAATGCTACTACAGCATTCTGATACAGGAAAAGACAAGATCTCGGATTACAGTAAATATGTTATGATTTTAAATAATCTATGGACAAGATGTTCCTGAAACCTGTGCTAAAGTAGCAGAATGCACCCATATTTGTAAACATACTGAATGACCAGCTATCAAGTGGTTTCTACATCAGGCACTTCAAGAAAGGATCCATGGCTGAGTATATAATTTATTATATAATTTTTAAAAATAATTTCAGATTTACTCTAAAGCATTTCCATTAAGTTCATTAGAAAATATCATTGGCCACAACCGTTTTAATCCTCTGCAAAAGATTAGGATAGACAAAATATAGAGAATCTTCTAATATTTGTTCAAGAATTTTAATTCTGTGTTGGCAATTTAAAGGCTAATTTATACTTTAATGGGCAAGATTTGGCCCAAATCTCAGTTTTCTTATTCCTGTTAACCTGCTGTGAAGGAAATAGATCCTCCTTTAGAATCCCACACACAAACCTGCAGTTAGTATAATTTAGTTCTTGTAATTTTGACCATGTTAACCTTGGAGGGAGGTCAAAACTACATCCAAGGCTGTATTAAACAGAATATGTATTGACAATAAACACACAGGATTCTATAATACTAATTTACACCAACAGTACAGTATCAGTAAATATTGGCTAACTAGTATGTCATTTGAATTTGTAATGTAGGACAAAGGATCCATTTCAGAGTGTCCACAAAAAATTAGATAGTTTGCTATAATGATTAAGGTACTATGGTGGCTAGAAACCAGGAGACTATGAGTTCCAGTCCCATTTTACACTCTTAAAAGAAGCTTGCTGAACTATTTTAAGCGTTCAGAAAAAGTAATCACATATTATCCACATTTATTCTGTTAACTTAAAAAACTGTCCTCTAGCGTAGTAAAAACAGAAGCTGGGAAATAGATAAGTCTATGTGGTTTCAAAGATGAAGCAGCAGTTAAGGACAAACCAACAGCATCTAGTTTCATCTTAACAAAACAAGTCACCATGACATACAGATCAGTTTATTGACAATAATTAAATCCAATGCCAAATCTGCTCAACAATTGCTTAATTTAAAACAGCAAAGTAATCCCACTATAACATCCGTCGCCGCCATAACAGCCGCCTTCCTCAGCCAGGCCTTCCAGCAGGAGCCACAATTTCCATCAACCCCTGCCATCAATTCTAAAGATGACAACTCAGAAAAACGGTCTCCTTCGGCTATCGGCCTCCGAGTTTTCACTATCCTGCGGGCCTCCTCTTAAATATTCTGGGACGCTTCGAACTGCTACAGCCCGGCCTCGCCTTCTCACCGGTTCCCGTGACTGACAGGAAGCTCTCCGGACCACGCTCAGTCGCCCCCGGAATGGCTGACCTTTCCGCCTTTCAGCTTTCGTCTTTGCCCGAAGGGCGACTAGAGCGGGCTGAGCTTCGCCAGTTCCGCTGAAAACAACCCTGGAACCTTACCTGCCAGAAGCACTGAAGCGACCCACAACACTCCCCTCCGGGACGCCATCACCTTCACGTCTGCCCCAACCGCCGTTCCAGTCAGGGCCAAGAAAAAGCATCCGGCGTCCAGAAGCGGATGTCCCGCCTTTCGTCGTAATTGACCTCATTATCAACCACTCAGAAATCTTATATCATGAAGGCGGCTGAAAAAGGATGTGGTCACTTTCTGAACAGCAAGCGAGTGTTGGCACTATAAGTGCTGGTGAAAATCCTACCATCGCGGCGACTTCACGCTGTCATGCGAATGAGGGAGGAAATTTAGCTCGAGTGATTGACGGCTTGGCCATTCACGACAAAGAAGGGGTCTTTCAGAAAAGCTCAATAAATTCTAAAGGAAAAGAGAATCATAGGACCCTGTCGGATCATGAAGTTCGTGTACATCGACAGGAAATACTGCAAGCATCTGGGAGCAGGAAGGCAAAGCGGGACCCGTGCAATCTAGTGACGAGGCATCGGGCAGTCTCCCAGACGTAAATTTTTGCGGAAGACAGGCTGAGATAGCCGGAATATCTTTGGGTCAAATCGACAAAGAAACTAGCCAACAATCTGGACAAGCCGCTACAGCGTTCTGATTGACTGTAGGGCTGGAGGGGAATGAAGGGAGGTCGAGTGACAGAGACAGCTGATAGTTGACACATTTGCACGAAGCGATAACGCATATGAAAGAGGATTTCTTAACCAGCCTTTGCCAAACATGCAAATAAATACAAGTAAGAGTCAATTTGGGCTAGTGCTTGGCATCAGGTTAGAAACAGGGAGATCGTCAAGAAAGCTCTTTGCATACGAGGGAGAATCACGAGGCTGAGCAAGTTGGCCTGGTACCTCACTTTTGTCAGTTTATGCACGCCTGGAATGAGGAAACCAGTCATACTTAATAGGAGAAGCCATAGGGGCAGTTCTGTGAACAACAGTTGGTACTTGCAGGATGGAACATGTGAATTTGCAGTTCTGCCAAGTGTTATTGCAGTAGAGAAATGCCATCAAAATCCCATTGGTTGCACTCCAGCAATATCTTAAGCTGCTTATTCACTCCCTTTTCTGAATTTCTACAATTCAGTATATTGTAACAGCCAAATGGGCTCGGTTTACCTAGCAAACAAGCAAACAAAAATAGTTTAAACTAGCTACACTAGCTAAGATTAGCATGTTGGAAGAAATGTCCACCTGGGTTCAGTTCTAAGTGGGAAGAAAGACACTGGAGACACAGAGGCTGATTGGAAAGATGGTTTAATGGTGTAGCAGAATCACCAAGCACATGTGATTCTGGGTAGCTGACCACACGGAGTGGAGAGTGAATGTTATTTATACCCTCTGTTGGGCTTTGAACTTTCCTGTTCTTGTGGCAAGAAATGTATCCTGATTGGTTGTCAGACTCCCATGGGCCTATGCAGGGGTAATATTTTAGGTTGTCTGTGTGCTAAGCTTGGCTGAAACATACTGGGTGATTCAATGAAGGGCAATCAAATGGCTCTGCCTGAAGGAGGTAGAACTTTGTTATGTAGAATAGACCGGCCCAGGCCTTAATGGTCTATTAACAAAGGAGGGGGCTGAGTTTCTGCCTCTCTGAGTTTTTACTTCTAGGGGAAATATTCCGCCTTTTTAATATATCTTAAAATATTTCATTTTTCTAGGAGAGAGGTGGGTTTTAACTTTCAACAATTCCCCCTCTTTTTACCAAAACATTTTTCTGGCAAAAAATTAAAAATTGATCTGATCAGGGAGATTTGATGGGTGCTTTTTAGTTTTTCTGATGCAAAGGTGAAGACATTGATAAGAGGCAACAAAAAAGGATTCCTTCAGTGGCTCACTCCCAAAAGCTTTCAACCATGAAGGTCTAGCAGTGTGGGGGGGGGGGAGTTCTGGAAAGAAATTTACAGTATCCCATTTTCTATGCCAATTATTTTCAGATGTTTGATGCACTTTCTGTGAGCTTACAGTCAGGTTTCAAGCAAGCACAAGTCCAAAATTCTTCACAGCCATGGTTTTCCTTTAAATTACAGGCTGCCCATTTCCAAGGGATGGTTACTAAACATGTCCTAGCTCTTAGTTTTGTAAGGTCAAATTAAGGTTAGCCATTGTGCACTCCAGGCTATTTTTAAAATTACACACAATGAGCCTTGGGATTCAGGAGACCACTAGTGAACATATACTGCTTCACTGGGCAACTGGGCAGCATCATTTGTGAGTCACAGTCAGGGCTTAGGCTTTGGAGATCTCTTTTCTGGTCTATCTTCAAGTGAGAGAATTGTATAAGGAGGATGCCTCCTCTCCCATGGGATTAGCAGGGAGATATGACTGCTTGGGCCTTAGTGCCACAGAGCAAAACAAAAAACACACACAAAAAGGAAACTAGGAGCAGCTTTGTGTGGAAGTAGTTGAATTAGTCCGCTGTCTAATTCTAAATGGTGTGTCTCTCTGTGTGCATGCATGTGTATGCAGCTACTTTCACAATACAGACAAGATAAACATGCTGGACAAATTTCCCTCCCACCAGACAGAAGTCCAAGGTGTTCAGAACATGCTGTGGCAACCACTCTCAAATACAATCCTTACATGAATACATTAAACTGATTACAATATAAATGAGACAAGAAAGAAAACATTACAATGAATTTCCACCCTCCCCCATAGTCTTTCTAGCTGTCTTCTGGGGATTGAAAAAGTCTTCACTGGTCCATCTCAGTATCCTCTCCTTCATGTCTCTAGGTGGCATTAGGCTTGGCCTGATGGTGTGGCTGGTCAGCCAGCTTGGCAAGGTTTGCTTCATGTTGTAGAGTCATCTGTGCAGGGCTGAAAGACATAAGAACAAGGTCCCCTCCAGTGGTGGTATTCAGCCAGTTCGCACCGGATCGGGAAAACCGGTAGCAAGGATTTAGCAGGACAGGGACGTCCAGAGGTGGAGAAGCCCAGCTGGGGCTTTCGAACACCTCTTCTCGCATTTGGAGGGATCCCCAGTGGATACACGAAACCCGTAGAGCTTCGTGTCAGAATAGAGGACCCCCGGGTTGCTGTTTGGGGGTAGGCAACTCCCCAGCAACGAAGGAAGAGCCTCTGAGACCAGCGCGATTGAGCCAGCTGCCAGCTAATGGCGGCTCCAAAGTCCGGTCTGCCACTGAACTGATGAAGCAAAAAGTGACTGCCTGAAGGGTCTGAGCGGAAAAGCGCAGAAGGACTACAAAGCCATGAGAGAGATCGGTCTGATTCTCCCTGTTTCATTGTGAGTAACAGTGGGGGAAGCTGGAGACAAGCGGCCAGAAAAGCAGTTTGAAAAGTGAAAGGGGGATAGAGTGGCTCGACACTTAGAGTGAAAGTGTGGATTGAAGCGTTGCCGAGGAGAGAAAAAGGCGGTGGGAATTCAAGAAGCTCAGGAGTGGATTGCCATCTCGGATCAGCGCGTGAGAAGGCTAGAAGACTAGGAGAGGATTTTAGCTGCGAAGGAGGGCAGAGCGAGAGGTAGAGAGCCAGAAAACGGCGTACTGACTTTTATATGCAAGATCTTTTCCTTTTAGCATTACTGCCTACAAAACTGATTTTTAAAGTGATCGATCTGAGGCAGATGCCCAAAGTGACTGTGGATTGACAATTGCTGGCAGGAGGGAAGAAGAAGAAGGAAGAGACAGACGGAAGCCTGGCCAAGACTGATCGCTGATTGCTGACAGCAATTAGTCAGCACTTCCTCCCCCTGCTTCCTTGGTGCGCCCAGGAGGAGAGACGATAAGACTAAAACGCCAACCCCAACTCAGACTTGTTTTTCTATGGAACTAATCCTACAGATACGTGCTTTGTGATTCCCTAAAATTGAAAAGACCCCTTTCTTCCTGCATTCTTTCTCTCTCTCCCTTTCTCTTTGTTCTTTCCTTTTTTTCTATAATAGTTAAGTATAAAGGCAAACTGCTTGTTACAGTTATTAAGGTTTACAGATTAGACTCTCTTGGATATATAAAAATTTTAAGGACTGTTAATAGGGTTGTCTCAGATAAAATGGAATCTTAAATATTAATATACACTATAGGACAAAAGTATTTATAGAGTGAGATATTCTAGAGTTGGTTGTATGCTTTAAACAAGTATGATTTATTAGGGGTAAAATACAATTAACTCCGGTATTTGAATTTAATATAGAGAATAATACATAATACATCGAATGGTGATTTGGGATAATATTCTTAACATAGTCCAATTGCAAAAACAAATCTTATCAGAGATGACTTCCACAACAACCACGGCCCTGAAAACAGGAAGGAAGAACAACCAGACCTTGATGACAACTCTGGCAACTGCCTCCCCAACAACGCAGAAAACTATAGAAGAGACCTTGGTAGGAGAAAAACAACCGACTGTTACTAATGCCAACCTACAAGCGACATTATTATCCCTGCAAGAATCAATGCAAGAATCAATGTCTAGAATGCAGGAGATTATGATTAGGAATCATAATGAGACCAGAGCAGATATTAGTGAACTGAAAGAAGAAATGAGTAAATTAAAAGAGGAGATGAGAGTAGATATACAGAGAGTTGAAGATAGGGTTGGGACAATGCAATTGGCCATGGAAAGAACTGAATTAAAAATAAAAGAAATAGAGAAGAGGACGGAACAAGCGGAGAGAAACCTAGAAAGGACTGAGGAAGATTTTAAAAATGTAAATAGAGAAATGGAAGATTCCTTGGTCCAACTTGAGATGGACAGAGCAGCTGCATACTTAAGGTTCCAAAACGTGGAGGAATCCAAAAATGAAGAATTAAAACAATTAATGGCAGGTTTGTTGGCTGAACTAGTTGAAAAAGAGAAAGATGACTTACTCAAGGAATTTGATGAAATCTATAGGGTGAACACCAGTTATGCAAGGCGTCACAATTGCCCAAGGGAGATCCATATCCGCTTTTCAAGAAGATGCATGAGAGACCTAATACATAGAAAGGCCAGAGATGAGAGAATATTATATAAGGGCAAAGAGATCATAATTCTCAAGCAGTTTCCAAGAAAAGTGAGGGCCATAAGGCAAGAATATAAATTTTTAGCCAATTACTTAAATAAAAATGAAATCTCATTTAAATGGCTAATCCCAGAAGGGATG